CTAAACCTTAAGCCCTAAACCCTGAACTCTGAACCCTAAACCCTAAACCCGAAACCCTAAACCTTAAGCCCTAAACCCTGAACTCTGAACCCTAAACCCTAAACCCTAAACAGTTCCCGGAGGGAGGGTTCTTGGAGTTTCGGGTTTTAGGGGTTCATGCGGTGTAGCTGCTCAAGGTCCTAGACCCCGCAAGTTGTTGTTCTTGGTGTTTGTTTAGGGTTTTAGGGTCTTAGGGTTTAGGGTTTAGGGTTTGGTCCTAAACCGTAACCCCTAAAACTTTTGGGATTTGGGCTTCGTGGTCGCGGGCCAGGATTTAGTTCTACAACTGAGCCTGACGGCCTAAACAGAAACTCTAAACTCCTACACCACTAAAGCTTGCTTTAGGTCTGAAGTCCAGGATACTTTCTGTGATGGGTTACTTGAGCCCTATATCAGCCTTATAACCTACCCACTAACCTCCTGATTGTTTAGAGGTCTGGTTCATGAAAGACGCACAAAACATCCTCTTTGTATTCCCAATATACCCATGGGCCCCATAGTAGTTCCTTTTTGGCATTACCTTATAGGATTCTAAATATGAACCCCAAAAAGGAACTATTGTGGGGCCTATGAGTAGTCCTACGATCATCTTCGCCCGAAACCGAGGGTGATGGTTCAGGCCTCCAGTTTAGGGTTTAGGGCTTAGGGTTTAGGGCTTAGGGTTTAGGGTTTCGGGTTTAGGGTTTAGGGTTGAGGGTTTGAGCTTCTCTGGCTAGGCTCAGTTGTCAGGAGCAACTGGAAAAGCTGCAAGAGCAGATGGCGAAGATGGCTGCTCGGCTGTGCTGACTGCCTACGGTTCAAGGTTTAGGATCTGGGGTGTTTTGAGTTTAGGGTTTAGGATTCGGGGTGTTTTGGGTTTTGGGTGGAAGGTCGAGCGGTAGGACAGTATTCAGCTCGTCACTTACTTTGGTTCAGGTGCCAACGCGCGTGCTTGGATCCTCAGGGTATGCGAGAGGCCTCAACACTTAGATGGAGGTGGGCTCATACTATGACCATGTCGGGCAACTAGCAAAAGTCATATCACCACCAATTCAAGCCTTCTGTTTCCCAAACCTCACTTTACTTAGCCACGTCTCCAAAGCAGCTACACGTCAGCAAGTGTGAGTTTCGGGACTCAAATCTTGAACCCGTCCAATCTAGAACCCGATATTGCAAGATCCTGATCACAAAGACCCCTCCAGAAGCCAACCCTACATAAGGCAACCCCCGCCCCCCATTTCAAACACAAGCC